ACCAGGAGTTGTGGGAAAGCGTAGCGGAAAGTCTGACTAGATTGTCTCTTTGTGAATGAGGAGTGGGACTTGACTAGGAAAAGAAAAAGGGACCGGCTTTAACCAGAGGGACCTACAAACCTGGCCCAGGCGATCACAGAGCTGCAAGAAATTCAGCATGGCGAGATGTGATGTGGAGAGGGAAAGGAGCAGGAGGGGAGGCTGGAGATAGTGAGCCGGGCCCAAGTGTGGAAGGTCACGTAAAATCACCATCAATCACTTAGACTTGATTCCATGGGCAGTCGAATACACTGACTGGTTTTGAGTGCTATAATCAAATTGGCTTTGGAAAGAGATCATCATTGGAACATTGATGATGGATTGGAGGCAGGAATACCAGCTATGAGGATGTTGGAGAAACCCTGTCCAAAATACTATAGCATGTTTGAGGTCACCCGTGAAGGGTAATGTGGGAAAATCAGCAGGCTTAGATCAAGCCCAGAGAAACACCGACAAAGGAACGTCAGCAGAGCCTACCGGGGAGAATGAGAAGGAAGAACCCACAGAGAGGTGAAAGGAGAGCCAGCAGGGGAGGCTCAGAGGTGAAGGCCAGAGAGTCTCTGGGAGGGTGTGGCCAACAGGTGTAAACGCTGCTTGGAGGTGAAGCAAGACAGCATTTGAAAGTGTGTCAGATTTAGGTTATAACGGGTCACCAGTGACCTTGGCACGAATGGCTTCAGTCGAATAAGGTGAGTAGTAGCCAATTACGAAGTGTCAAGGAGTGGGTGCGAGGTGATGAAATGAAGGCCTTGGCTGTAGCCCAGAGCTTACAAGCACAGATGTCTACAGCGCCAGGAAGGTGATGTAAGTGAGGCAAGTAGGTTGGAGGTGAAGCAACAGGAAGTAGTGGGGTCTGCTGCCCACTCAATTGCAGGCGCCCCAATTAAAAGGGCAGCAGCTAGTCATCTACTGACAGCCATTTCTGTTTTTCACAAGAAGTTGGAAACCACATTTCTATTAATTTTTTCCTGATTTTTAAATGTTTGTGACTGATTCAACATTTTTTAAAAAATAATATGTGGATCAAATCACATCTGCAGATGGAATCTGTGCAATAGTCTGTGATCTCTAGTGAAGTACACTGTTTGAAGAAGTTTAACTGTAAAAAGAAAAGACATTAGTTGCTGGAAGAAATTTGAGATTGAAGGACTGAGGTGGTTTTTCTTTTTTATTTCTTTTTTTTTCCCCCCTACTGTGGGAGGTTTGAGCATGTTTAAAGGCAGATGCATGGGAAGATCCAATGCATGGGAAAGAAATGCCAAAAGGAGAGGGAGAGAGGAATGCTATAGTGAGATACCTAGGGAGAGGGGAGAGTGGGGATCCCAAGTGTGGGTGGAGAATGATGGTAGATGAGAAGGAAGCTTCACCATGCAAAGAGGATCCTGTGTGGGGCTTTGCTGGTGATAAACAGTTAAGATATCTTCTCTTCAGATAGCATGGCATCTGTGTAGGGGATTATTTGGGAGAGTTAGAAGTTTGAAGAGAATAAAGAAAATTGTATATAATTGCTGTGAAAAATGAGAAAACTGAGAATAGGTGAGCTAGGGACTGAGGCAAACGTGATGGTCATGAATTTCTAAAAGCCCCAGTGGAGAAAATGGGTAGTGAACATATCTTTTCTTTGTCTCTCCTGTATCTACATGCCTGTATACACACAGTGAGTCTATCTGTGACCATCATCTAATGAACCTTGTGTTTTTAGAACGCCACTGAAATACTGGAATCAGAAGCTTCCATACAAACTTCCTCCATTAAAGGAACCAATACATCTCACTAGTCTTCCTTTGCCTGGATATCTGGAACAGGTTCAGTTACACTATTTTCTTTCTCTCTATATATATACATTGGAAGAGTAACATTTTTTAAAATATATTTTTATTGATTTCAGAGAGAGGAAGGGAGAGAGATAGAGGGATAGAAACATCAATGATGAAAGAAAATCATTGATAGGTTGCCTCCTGCACACCCCCCACTGGGATCAAGCCTACAGCCTAGGCATATGCCCTGACCAGGAATTGAACAGTGACCTCCAGGTGCATAGGTTGACGCTCAACCACTGAGCAATGCCGGCTGGACACAATGACCTCGTCTTTAACAGTAATTTTTATTTTGGTAGATAAAATTCAAGGCAGAGTTTTCTGATTTTAAGCTGCAAATCCACTTTAACCATTTTGTTTATGGGTGCTTATGAAAAGATGTATGCAATATCTACTTTTCAAATACCTACACTAAAGTGGAGAGTAGATTGTCATAAAATTATTTACATTTGACATGTGGTTTGGTTTGTATCTTGAATTTCAGTATCTGTAAAACATTTTCTTATTTTGAAATGTACAGATCCAGTGTCTGAGAGGTTTATTTCCAGCTTCAGAGTTATAGTGTCTTTGAAGCTATCTACTGAAGTCACACTTTATTTATCTAATCTAATAAAAGAGAAACATGCAAATTGACCATACCTCCACTACGCCCACAAGCCATGCCCACAAGCCAATCAGAAGCAAATATGCAAATTAACCCAACTAAGATGGTGGCGGCCACGGAGCTGGAGTGAGCAGGAGGCTTGAGTTACCCCCGGCAATGGAGGAAGCCAAGCTTCCCGCCTGCCCTGCTGTCCCTGCGCTCCGCTCAAGCCTACAAAGTTTCAATTACAGAAGATAAATAAATGCCAGATACCTGCTTCCAGCCGGCATGGCCTCTGGGCGTGGCCTCCACTCAGGGAGGGGCTAGGAGTTCCAGGACCTGGGCTCTGCTCAAGGATACAAAGTTTCAATTATAGAAGTTAAATAAATCCCAGATACCTGCTTCCAGCCATGGCTGTGGCCAGCCTGAAAATGGCCCTCAGCCCCTCACTGATGAGGACACCCTTCAGGGCAAACCAGCCAGCCCCCACCCATGCACCAGGCCTCTATCCTGTATAATAAAAGGATAATATGCAAATTGACCATAACAGCAGAACCACTGAGAATGACTGGTCACTATGACACACACTGACCACCAAGGGACAGATGCTCAATGCAGGAGCTGCCCCCTGGTGGTCAGCGCACTCCCACAGGGGGAGCTCTGCTCAACCACAAGCCAGGCTGACGAATGCCAGCACAGCATTGGTGGCAGGAGCCTCTCCCGCCTCCTCAGCAGCGCTAAGGATGTCCAACTGCAGCTTAGGCCTGCTCCCTGCTGGCAAGTGGACATCCCCCGAGGGGTTCCAGACTGTGAGAGGGCACAGGCCGGGCTGAGGGACCCCCCCCCCCAGGTGCACAAATTTTTGTGCACCGGGCCTCTAGTCTAAATATGTCTTTTTAAACATAGTAAAACTTAACAGCAGCCAACTACTGTTTCGTACTCTCTCACAAAAATTCTTAACCACTTGGTTTTTTTCAACTCTCCTGGATATTTCATCTTCAATCTTGTTTAATATCAAAATGTAAGATGAGGCTCACCCACAGAGGGTTTCTCATAAAGGCCAAGTTTCATCAGGAGAACCTCAAACCTTATTTGCCTGCCCCAGGCTCTGGAATATTGACTGCAGTGATCTCTGTGGTCTCTGAGAGTCCTGGTCAGGTGGCCAAAGGTCCAGATAGTGGAGGCAATCTGGCCAGTTCTGAGTAGTGGAAACAGAGATGGGCCAAGACAACTCAAAGCCCAGTGTCCCCTTCTTTCTTTTTTAATGTTGTGCTATGGAAAATGTCAAACATATAAAAATAGAGAGAATTGTGTAATGAAGCCCATGTAGCTATCACCTCACTGGCAGTACTAAACCAATTTATAATTTTCATTTTTCTTAACCAAACATATTTTGGCTTTCTTTCATGTTGGCTAAATGGTCATCTAACCATCTTTATAAGCTCCATTCCTAACCCCAGGAGATTATTAGAGGCAAAGAATAGCCTCTTTATCTATTTGCCACTAAGAAAATAAATCACTCAAATATACACATGATTTAAATTGTTTCCTATCTGCAGGGTATCGCAACTTCTCTAATTAAAGCAATGAATGCAGTAGGATGCTTAAAGCCCAAATTTCCTTTCTTAAGTATAAAGAAATCCGCGCTCCTCTATATAGCATTTCATCTAAAAGGTATGTCTTTTTTAATGATATATTACTCAGAAATAACTTAACACTAATTGTAGTATCTGTGACAAACAGGATTGTTGAGCTGGGTTGGTCTCTTTAATGGTGTGTGTGTGTGTGTGTGGTGTGTGTGCGCGCACACAAATATTTTTACAAAAATACCAAAACTTAATTTCTAGTTTTTAAAGCAGGGACTCTGAGTAATATAGTCAGCTCTCAAAAATTCATGCCATAGAGGAAGGTGAAAAGGCTATTATGGTCTGAAATAGAATAATCCCCAACTTTTGCTTGGGATTTGGATATCTTCTCAGCTCAATCACACATACACAGTTTCTCTTTCTCTGTAATTTAATGATTTACTAACCTAACAGAAAACATTCACAAGTCTGTGAACTTTTCTACAGCCTTTAATCCCAAAGGTTCTGAATATACAAGAAAAAAGTATAAGAAGAAGATGGAGCAGTTTGTAGAGAGATGTGAACTCATTACATACCTGAGTGCCCACATGACCAGAAAATACAAGGAACCTCAGTTTAGAGCCATTGACTTTGATCATAAATTACAGACCTTTCTCTCTCTCAGAAATATAGACCCAGTTAAAGAATAGTTTGGTTGGGTGACTGCAACCAGGATCTCAAGAGTTATCTGAAAGGCATAGAGGGAAATCAATTGAAAATCTGGCCTCCGATGAACTTCTCCCTCCTGAGTGAGGTACCATGGCTGCCAGACCCCAAATAGACTCAAAGCTCCGCCACCCAGGAAGGAGTGCTCTTCTGTAAGCATAAGTTTTAAAACCATTTTAAAGTTTATTGCTCTTGGTCTGAAATTTGATGCTTTAACAAAATGGTTATTCCATTTAGAATTCCATTGAGAATATTCTGGTAATTCATTTTACTTAATAAATCTGTTGTTCATTTTCCTTTTTAACCTTTCAGTTAAAAAGTCAGTCTCTGTTAAAGAAAATTACTCAGTAAATGTTAGAAAGCTTCAAGAAACAAAATTAACATTGACATCAACAAAATAGAAATGTTGGTTACACTTTTGAAATAAGTTGTTTTATGAATATAAGATGCTTTATCATATCCCCAACAAAAATAAATGGATTTTGAGATAAATGGCTGCCTCTTTTTTTTCTTTAAGTATTCAAGAAGGCATGCTTTATACATTATTTATAATTTGAAATCACCTGGAGTTTTGAGGAGAATGAAATCTAGAGTCTTATATTACATTATCAAGAAGTATATGCAAGAGGAAAAGTTACTAAATTGAATTTGAATGAGATCTAAAAAATAAGATTATCAGTTTTTCAGCAGTAGCATAAGAAATATAGAATGTGAAGTAGCGAGACTGGCTTTTTAAAAAATAATAATAAAAAAAGCAACCTGTATAATCTTAGGTAAATCTCAATTTATCTGAGCCTTTGTTTCTTAATCTCTAAAATTACAGATTTAGCTCTTTTCAGCTTTATTGAGGTATAACTGACAAATAAAATCATATGTACTTCAAGTGTCCAACACGGTGATTTTGATGTGGGTATACATTGTGAAATATTTACCACAATCAAGTTAATTAACACATCCATCACCCCACATAGTTATTTTGTGTATGTGTGTGTGTGTGTGCGCTCGCAGTTAGTACACTTAAGAACCAAATTTCAAGTATGCAGTACAGTACTGTTAACTATAGTCACCACTGTAATTGAGTCAGTACGGTATTGGTGAAAAAATAGACAAATCAATGTTAACAGAGAAGCCACCAGAAATATACCCACATAAATATAGTCAATTGATCTTTAACAAATGAGCAAATTGAACATCCACATGCAAAACAATGAAACTAGACACAGACATTTTACCTTTCACAAAAATTAACTCAAAATGGATCACAGATCAAAATGTAAAATGCAAAACTATAAAACTTCTGGAAGATAATACAGGAGAAAATCTAGATAACTTTGATTATGGCAATGACTTTTTAGATATCTCAGGCATGAAGCATGAAAGAAATGATTGATAAGCTGGACTTCATTAAAATGAAAAACTTCTGGTCTGCAAAAGACACTGTCAAGATAATGAGACAAACTACAAACTGGGAGAAAATTCTGGCAGAACTGTTATTCAAAATATACAAGAACTCTTAAAACTCAGTCAAATAACCCAGTCAAAAATAGGCAAAAGACCTGAACAGACACTTCACTAAAGAACATATGCAGGTGGAAAATAGCATATGAAAACAATGCTCCACACAAATATGTCATTAGGGAAATGCAAATTAGAACAATGAGATACCACTACACACCTATTAGAATTGCCAAAACTGCCCGACTGGCGTGGCTCAGTGGTTGAGCCTTGACCTATGAACCAGAAGGTCACAGGTTTGATTCCGGCTCGATCCCCAGTGTGGAGTGTGCAGGAGGCAGCCAATCAACTATTCTCTCTCATCATTGATGCTTCTATCTCTCCCTTTTCCTTTCTCTATGAAATAAATAAAAATATATTTAATTTTTTTAAAAATTGCCAAAACCCAGAACACGAACACCACCAAACACTGGCAAGGACGTGGAATAAGAGGAACTCTGATTCATTGCTGGTGGAAATGCGAAATGGTACAGTCACTTTGGAAGAGACTTTGATAGTTTCTTACAAAACTAAGCATATTTTTACGATCAATAACACTCCTTGGTATTTACCCAAATGAGTTGAAAACTTATGTCTACACAAAAACCTACACAAAGATGCTTATAGCAGCTCTAGTCAAAATTACCTAAACTTGGAAGCAACCAAGATGTCTTTCATTAGGTGAATGGATAAATAAATTGTGATACATCCAGACAACAGAATTTTCTTTCCCTAGTAAATCTTTAGAGTTAGACATTAACTTGGATTTTCTTTACTTTCCTTTAAGCTCAGTTATGCATTTTCTGTTGTCATTTCTATCTATCTCATTGTGGAAAGCTTTTTCATAATGTTAACTTTCCATATCATCAGAATCAGGCATCTTTTCCAATGAGGGTTGTCAGATAAAACACATGATGTTCAGGTGAATTTGAGAGACCTCCTCTACTCCTGTGAACTGTTGGGAACAACACGGCAGCTAAGACTAGTTAGAACCCTTTAATAGTCTACTGAAGAAAAATTATGAACGTCTGAAGAAGAAGAATTCTAATCACGGCAGTCAAGAATTAAACCAGAGACTAAACTCATTACATACTTAATCTTGTTTGCCCCACAGCAACCCAACTTAGTAGGCACTAGTGTTAACATCTCTAATTTCCAGGTAAGGTTTAAAGACGTTGAAGATGGCTCAGTGTCCAGAGTGTCCAGATCAGTCTCACTAGAGCGCTCTCTTCAGTCCCTTGGACCAAGGCATTGGAAGTAGGGGGGTAGGTTGGGGGGAGCGGGGAGGAGGTTGCAGAAGGCAGATGTGAAAAACAAGTTTGAGGCCAATCATGGAGGAGGAGGGGAGGGAAGGAAGACGAGGGAAAGGAAGGGAAGAAGGACGAGGACATAAAGGCGATTTCATTCATTCATCTCACATTCGAGACCTTAAAGGGAGCTTCGGCGTCTGAGGTGAGGAGCTAACGGTCTAATAAGAGAGAACTTCCACAATCGCAGGGTGACAACGTCATTCCTGCCCACCTCTCCCAATTCCCTGCAAGCACTGGACCTGTCTGAGCTCTGCAGGAAGCGCCGCCGGAGACCTCAGGCCCCGCCCCTCCCCGCCCCGCCCCGCCCGCCCGGGGGCGTCTCCGCGGGCCACGTGGTCCGCCGTCGGCGCGCGGCCAGCTCCCGGCGCCGGCGCTTCCGGGTTGGCAGCATTTGAGGCGGTGGCGGCCCAGGAGCTGAAGCCCGGGAGGCGCAGGAGCCCCAGCTGCAGGCCCGGGGGAGCTGGAGACCACGAAGGGCCCGGCGCGGGCGCGCCCGCCAGGCCGCCCGATTGGCCGGCCGCGATCCACACCTCGCCGGGCGCCGCCAGAGGTAGGTCCACCCCGGACCCACCGTCAGTGTCCACCTCTCCCTCCTCTGCCGTCCGCTCCCCGGCCCAGCCCGAGGGGCTCGGCCCGGAGGCGGGGCCCCTCCCGCGCCCGCTCGCAGCTCAGCCGGCTCCGGATCTGGCATCGTCCACCCGCCTCTGCGCCGAGCGCCGCCTGGTGCCAGCCTTGGGCGTCCCACGCAGCCCTTCGGAAGCGAGGCCCGG